ATAAGGACTCAGTGAGGGTGGTCTTATGCTGCTTCCTTGAGAGACCTGTGCTTGATGACTTATTTATGGGAGAGCTGGAAGCGAGGTGGAGAAGGTCTCCGATTGAGGCTTGCCGAGGTGGATGAGAATACCCTTATCTCCCAACCTGACCATACGAAGACACAGGGGCGGAATCGCTCTGTAGTTATAAACCTTGCTTCTCCCATTGGCGATGGTGAAACCTTCTTGGAGCTCCTTTATGAGATGAAGAGTTGTTATGCCAGCCTTGGGGTTGATATCAATTCCGGCCCTATCTTCCTTGGGACTGGTACCAAAAGTGCCTTGACACTAAGTGCCTTCAATCGTAGCTTGAAAAAGTGGTTTTCTGAATTGAAGATAGAAGGTCCCATAAATAGTCATAGTTTTCACGTTGGTGGCATTCGCGAAGGTATTCGTTAAGGTTGGTCCCTTGAACGGATGCTGACTTAAGGTTCCTGGAAGAGTTTTTCTTCCTTTGTGAAATTGTGAGGTATGGATACGGTTGCAACCAGAGAGGTGCTTAGGCAATGGATATTCTCCAGGCCTTAAGTCCGAAAGCCCCGGGGTTAGAAACTCTAGCGGGTACCCTGCTGCTGGGAATGCAAGTATCCTCGTCCTTCATCATATCTGCGGTATCCAAGCAGTTTAATGATGCTACAGTTGGGTATCAAGCAGGCTTGTCCGAGGCGGGGGTGATGAGGAGGTATTTTCCGCCGTACCTCTTCATTATTTTGACAGTGTGACCGATCAAACAGGTTGGAGGAAAAACCCAAAGGTAAGTCTCACATGAAAGCTCCGACCAATCCACTGAGAGGGCATCCACTTCGTAGCAGTCTGGGCATAGATGCTCGGAGATGAAGAGATCGCAAACGTGGTGAGCGTCCGAGGCGAATAGGTTCACTGAGGGTGCTCCAAACTGTCTTCGAAGGATATCCGTTTGCTGAGGTGATAGGCCCCAATCTGTTGTATCTCTCCATTTTGAGAGGTCGTCTGCTTCCTGATTCAAGTCCCTGAGGACCCAGAATGGTCTGATTTGACAATCCGTTCTAAGAAGGAGGGTGGCAATTTCTCTTAATATAAGGTAAAGAGACTCGACTGGGGTCCTCCAACTCTTGAGGATTAAGACGACTCCCGCATTGTCACCGATGATCCTGATGGATCCTTCCCTTATAGCTTCATAGTGCCTTGACTCCAGCAATTTTAGAGTTTGCAAGACCCCAAACAATTCCCTTTGTGTACTAAAGGAGTCGACCAGGGAGACAGGAAGTAGGAAGTTGACTGTTCTTTGAGACCCTTGAGTAGAAATTAGTGCTCCAATTGCGATATCGGAAGCATCCGTCTGAATGGTGGCTAAAATTTCCCTTATGGGCTAATATGAACCCCTCAAGCTGGAGAGATTGTCCAACCATGAGCAGAGGTCCAACGCGCACAATCAGGATCAGGTGCGCACATACGCCCGCACGTGCGCACCAGTGGGGAGGACACATGCTCGGGCAGGCCAGGGGACATGAGCGCGTGGTCACACAAGCGTGTGCTAGCACACAGGTACCTGCGTAGGCGAACCAACAGAGACAAGCGTGCGGTTACACAGGAACGCTCGGGTGGATCAACGTGGGCAAACGGGTGGGGCGCAACTGCGAGCAGCCGTTCGACTTAGTCGAGAAACCGGGGGGGCTTTGGGGGCAAGCTTGGACTTTGGGCACAGAGTCGGGCCTTTGGACACAAGCCTAGATTTTGGGCACGGGGCAGGGACTTTGGGACGAGGACGTGACTTCAAGCAGACCGGGACCTTGGGACAAGGCCGTGACTTCAAGAGGACCGGGACTTTGGGACGAGATCGAGACTTCGGGCGGGACCTGGACTTTAAATGGGTCCGGAACATTGGTCGTGGCCGTGATTTTGGATGGGACGGGACCGAGACTGTGGACGGAACCGGGACTTCGGCGCTGGACCTGAGCGTGAACCAGGATTTTAGCTTGGGACCTTGAGCCAGATTAAGATTACGAACAAATCGGACTTTGAACCGGGTAGTGACTTCAGACGAGACGAGGCACCTTTGGGTTGAGAGAGGGCACCTTTGAACCGAGCCAGGACACTTGAAGTCAGTCTGGGACTTTCGGACGAGACTAGCGATTTCGGGACCACGCGGGCTGACGAGCGTATCATAGACTTATTCGAGAAGGGTGGTGACGCAAGCAGACTTATGGTGAAACTCGATTTGAAGTCATGACCCCAGTGGGCCCGACAGTCTAACTCAGATGCAGAAAGCTCTTGTGAAGTCCCATGGGATCGGCGGGCCCGCTATTGGAGGCACCCCATTGGGCGAAGGATTCGCCCCTATGAAACACCCGTGGACACGTCCGCGGGGTCAAGCTCGGAGGGCGGACGTGATTTTGTTACCTTAAAACATTATCAAAACAAAAAACAAAAAATATGGGGTTGTAGGTCTTTTTAAGATCTAAATTGCGCAATTTTGTTTTTTATTTTTTTACTTTGTCTTCGAATTCTAAAAATTCAAAAAATAATTTTCCTAAGGCAAAAACTGTTTGTTTGTTTTTTTCCAAAAAAAAAACATGAAACGTATGTGATTTTTTATTTTAAATTCTGTAACGTTATTGGATATGACCACAAGGCAAAAGTTGTTCAGTATATTTTTCTGCATGACATATGTTTTTTTCAGAATCTTTTGAATTTTTTTTTTTTTTTTTTTTTTTGTCATGGTCGAGGACCGCGGACACGTCCGTGGGGTCGCGGTACGTCCTTCTTCCCCATCCCGACGTCCCCTCCTATTCCGTCCCCACCTCCCCCTTTTCCCAATCTCCGACCTCATCTCCAAACCTCTCCTCGCTCCCTTCCCCTCCCCCCTCCCTCCCTATCCCGACGACCAGTCTTGTCTCTCCTCCCTCCTTTAACTCTCCCCCCTCCCCCCCTATCCCGACGTCCTTCTTCCCCATCCCTCAATCCCGATCTCCCTCTCCCCCTCCCTCCCTGTCCCGATGCCCTTCTTCCCCATCCCGACGTCCACTCCTATTCCTGTCTCTTATACACATCTAGATGTGTATAAGAGACAGCCTGAACAGCAGCTCAACAACTCATCATAACAACATCATACGAACATCTCTACAGCGAGTGGACTAGAACATGAGGACTGAACTACAGGTATCGTCACTGAGATAGACTGATCATCAAGATATTATCTATGCAGAGGCTAGTTGCAAAGTACTGCGCGTGCAAACCGGACTGCTCTGATATCATGTGTGCAGGAAAAATACCGTCCGCACAGGGTCTGATATGAATATCGTCCATGCTGAGACTGATCAGCAAGAAATCAAATCGGCAGGGGTTTGGGGGCTAGTCATACCATCAGAGGCATCCTGTTACGTCTTCAAGACTAATCACACTCGTTGGACATGCATCCCCAACCATCATATCGGCTAGACGCGCGTTCCAAAATCATCATAGCACTCATTCCCGTAGCCTACCCGAGCCAGGGCGCACTCATGTGACAATACCAAGCGTAGGCGCGCATGGGCACACACTCAACAGCAATACTAAACTTGGGCGCGCATAGGCGCGCACTCAAATCACAGTTCCAAGCTTGGACGCGCATGGGCGCGCACTCAAATCGCAGTTCCAAGCTTGGGCGCACATGGGCGCGCACTCAAATCGCAATGCCGAGCAAAGGCGCGCATGGGCGTGCACTCAAGTAGCAATACGGATCATGGGCGCACGTGAGCGCATACTCAAATGACAATATCTAGCTTGGGCGCGCACGGGCGCGCACTCATATAGCAATACCAAGCTCGGGTGCACACGGGCGCACACTCATATGGCAATACCGGGCTCGGGCGCGCACGGGCGCACACTCATATAGCAATACCGGGTTCGGGCGCGCATGGGCGCACACTCATATAGCAATACCGGGCTCGGGCGCGCACGGGCGCACACTCGTATAGCAATACCGAGCTCGGGTGTGCACGGGCGCACACTCATATAACAATACCGAGCTCGGGCGCGCACGGGCTCACACTCATATAGCAATACCGAGCTCGGGCGCGCACAGACGCACACTCATATAGCAATACCGAGCTCGGGCGCGCACGGGCGCACACTCTAACAGCAATGCCAAGCTTGGGCGCGCATGGGCGCGCACTCTAACAGCAATGTCAAGCTTGGGCACGCATGGGCGCGCACTCTAACAGCAATGCCAAGCTTGGGCGCGCAGGAGCGCACACTCTAACAGCAATGTCAAGCTTGGGCGAGCATGGGCGCGCACTCTAACAGCCAAACCGAGACTTGGCGCGCAGTCAAACAGCCAAACTAAGACTGGGCGCGCACTCTAACAGCCAAACTGAGACTGGGCGCGCACTCGATCAGCCAAACTGAGACTTGGCACGCACTCGATCAGCCAAACAGAGACTGGGTGCGCACTCTAACAGCTTGCCCGAGCCTGGGGGCGCACTCAGACAACTTGCCTGAGCCTGGGCGAACACTCACACGACTTGCCCGGGCCCGAGCGCGCATGGAAATCTTCAAGGTAGAATACACGGATTGAGTGCGCACTGTTACACGGACTCAAATCCATCAAAACTGAGTTCACAAGTTGAGTG